CCTGTTTATTTATTTTTACTTGGGTGAGAGTAGTAGGAATTTTTGAAGTTATACAATATTTATGCAGAAATACAGACATATGTAAGTAACAGAAACAGATTCTCTGCTGTAAATGATAGAAACATTTTTAGTTTTAAGGTGCTGATGTGAWAAATCTGAAGGGAAGTTTGTTTTCTTCAATTATTTCACTGAAGTGTATCATTGGAATCATTATCTGTTTTTTTTGTTTTGTTTTTCACATTTACTTTTTCATGGATTTCATGGATTCATCCAAAGCTACATGTCTGATTAATTAACAATTTGGCGTCACTTTATAATCCCAGTATGGAACTCATTGACAAATCAACACGTTTGGTAATTGAACACTTGCTTTGAGGTATGCAAAATCCAAGTAAACAAAAGCTAAGAGAAGGGAAAATATCAGTATTTCTAATATTTTGAGTCCACAAACCCCGAAACAAATCAGCAAAGTTGTATTCCAACTCTGACAGAGAAACGAGAAGCTGGAGTGTCAGAGATTAATGAAGCATGCAGGCTGCAGTGATTGGCATYCCAGATAAACATAAATGACTTCCTCTGTAAAAACTGGCCAGAAGCAGGTTGACTGTGCCGTGGGTGGTTCTGTGTTCTGWCAGTGAGTTCACACTTGAGGTTTTTTTTGCTCATTTATTTGCTCTGCCATTCATTTGTTAGTTTGCTCATTTATCAAGTCAGAAATAGATTTCAGTCTCCAAAGATCCTGCCCAAGGAGCTCAAGAGTCCTAATGGTTATAAGAGAAAATTAATTTTAGAGGGAAAATAATGAAATGAAAAGGTGAACTATTAATTRCAATATTGTTTTGATATTTTGTTTTACAATTTTATACCAATAACTTTTAATTATAAATATTATTATCATTATTATTTTTTTAAGTTTGAATTGTGTTACATTAGAGGCTCAGACAGCATTATTTTTTTTCTACCACAGCTTGTGTCACTTCCATCCGACTAGTCATCTGCAGCCTCAGGCATGAACAAATGACCTGGAACCGACAAGAAAAAATCCCATTTTATCCAGAACTTAACACTGCAACCTCCCTCACCTTTTGGCTAACAACACAACTTACAGAAACTAGCTTTTTCAATCACAGTCACATAATGGGGCTTTATGTGGAGGCTACACTTCAAGATTAAAGTGGTAAATTACTAACAAGCTCTGTTTTTAGTGTTAACTATTTTTCACTCTGTTGATGAGATATTTTTTGTCCACACTTTAAGCTTTGCTGATGAGAACTTTAATCAAAAAAAAAACTAAAAACAGTAGCTGTTTAAAAATGAATTAGTTGATTTTTCAAACWGTTTTATGATTATTTTTTGWTGTTTTTATWCTTTATTTTTATGTAATTTAATTACCATGTAAGATAGCAGATAAGTCATGCAGTTTTTGGTTTAGTCTGAAATTATTCATCAGGTAACMGCTTTCCGTGCAAATGACTGTTCCAAAAAAAAAGTAATTCAAACTCATTGTGAGTTTCTCCCTCRCTTTTTCTTTCACATCCCAGCAGGTCTCTGTATGGGCCTCTCTTTCTGCCCCCTCCTGCCTGGTGCTCGCTGTGCCTCCCTGTAGTGAGGGTGGGTTAGGGCTGCACGCAGAGCAGGAGGCTGTATTAATAAGACACACTGCTTTGAAAAGGTATAGATCAGAGTAGAAAACAGTGCCCTGGGCTGATGCACAGTGAGTGAAGGTAGAAGAAAGGGAAGAGAAAGGGCAAGGAAGACAGAGACAAGGAGAGAAGACACAATGCCTTAGGTAGTATGAGAGAATATGTCTTTGAAAAAAAAAGGAGAAAACATAAAGCYGAAAAGGTGAAGGAGGGATGATAAGGTCTAAAATGATGAGCTTAGTAGGGGGAGCTTATGTGAGGCCAGTGATGGGAAGAATTGCAGAGATCTGTGGTATATTCTGGGTGTCTTGAGGCGTGTGGTTGAAGAAGAAGAGGATCAGTAAATTGCAGAGATAAAGATGAAACAGTTGCTTTAAAGAGATGTGGTTTAAGTCGCAGCCCAACCACGAAAACAAAGCCGAGTCCACTTCTCTGACCGCTGCCATTTATTTCACCCATTCAAGTCCTAACTTTGCAGCTACCTTCTTTTCATAAGTAGACTTCAAATAATGTCAAACCGCGCCCCGATATTTATCCCCCCTGAACTATCCCCGCTTCCCATCCTTGTTCGTGGTTTTTACTAAGACAAAAGCAGTCGAGAGGAAGTTTGGCTATGCCTATCAAAAACTCTCTGAAACTGCAATCCCAAGCACGTTCTGCATTAAAGCCATTGTGATGGTAATTTTGTCACCTCTAATGGACAATTAGACATGCTAGCAGATAGAGAGCACTGTGCATARCAATCTCTGGGTTCTAATTACCTCAACAAATGGCGTGGATGTCCGTGTGCCTATGGATCATAGGAGCAATACGACCCAGGAGCACAGATAGACTGAAGGTGAAACGGGGCAGTTGCCATATTAAACTAATAACTTATATTAAACCTGATAAAGGCCTGATGGATGAGGAGCTGTATGAACGTATATCTGTCAAATAACRGCTCGCTTTATGGTTTTCCTTCAGTGGTCCATCGCTTCAAAACTTTAATGAAAAAAACAGAAATATGTTCTTTTAACCTACCAAATATGACCAAGAGGTAAGCTGACGGAACCAACCTTTTACTTTAAGTAGATTTTTTTTTTATGTTTCTGGAAAACCAGAGTTCACCTGGAGGAGYTGGGTGGTGACATAATTGGATCAAACAGTTTGAAAAAAAAATGCTTACCTAATTATTTCTCTTTTATTTAATGCTTTTATAAACTTTTCCCTCACTTCTCTTGTTTCTGCCTTTTCCMCTTCATTGCAGATAATGAGCTACTGTACCGTAACCGAGAGGGTGATGTTGTGAAACACAACGTTGACACTGATGAGCAAACCATCTTRGTGCATAACAAGAAATTTGTAAGTCCCTCGTCCCCTTTTCTTTTTATTTGACTTTTATTTCTGTTCCTTCGACAGTCACATRACCGAGAAATAAAACAAAAGATTTACTTTAGAATTGACAAATCAAATCTTCTACACCCCTTATTTTTTATTAATTACACAATTTAATTAAATGTTGCATAACTTCAATCCTGCTTGGTGTTTGGTAATGTAAATGTTGCATCAAAACTGCTGTAGCCTCTGTGACGACACATTATATCTGCCATCAAATTGTCACTCACTAGCGCAAAGATCAATGCAACCCCACTTCACTTATGAGGCCAAGCAATCCGTCAAAGTAAAACATTTAAGGACCACTTTAATGAAAACACCACACATGGTTAGAGATTTTATCTTGTCCTTTTTTCCCCCCCAACAAATCTGCCTTTTCCTCACAGGAAATGTACAAAGCCAGCAAGTATGAGGTGTCCCCTGACATGAAGCACGTGCTGCTGGCCTACAACGTTGCACCGGTGAGCTTCTCATTTGTTTGCTTGTGTTTTGAATTAGCGAACTGACAGCCAAATATGTCAGCGGCTTCAAACAGACAGGCAGGGGGGTGGGGGGGAGCATGCAGTGGAGCAGAGGCAGGGGAAAGATAGGAGGGAGGAGAAAAATAATCACGGTGAAGTGAAGGCCTGTCGCACACTGTTGCTTGTCAACAGCAGTGGCGGGGGGCTAGCACAGCTGAGCGGAACTGCGGGTGGGGGTAGGGAGGTGGATGCAGAAGCACAAACAACCCCCTCAGCGTTGGTTGCGGCACGGCAACGGTGAGAACAGGAAGTATCGACTGGGAATTTATCATTTCTGTGCCGTTCTTGCTCCATGACTGTGTGAGCTCTGGAAGCTGTGAGATATGAATCAAAGCTTTTTTTTTTCTCAGCTCCTAATATAGGTGCATCAGATATATTGAGCCATTTACCTACCTGGTGCTTGTGTTCTCACTTTAATCTGCTTTACCAGGATGCTGGGGGGAGAATTTGTTCCTGTTGTTAGTCTGTGAAAGATGTTTTCAGAAATATAATCTGGTGTTATTGCCTGAGATGAAATGAGGATATTATGTCACTCTAGAACGTGTCGTAGGGATCGTGTTTTCTTTTATTATCCATCCAAAACCGCATCACTTTGATAGATGACAGTCTTTTATTATTTTTCTTATGTGCTCTCTTCAGCAGCACACAGTCACACATTCATGCATGGTTTATCTCTCTAACATACAGCATAAATCTAATTCRWGCTAAATACTATGTTTGCATACTACAAATATTTCAAATAGGAACTTAGATGGGATTTGTGAGCTGTTTATGAACTGAATACATAACTTGAAATAGAGACAGAATTACAAGACTATGTAAAAGACTTGAATACTGTATAAATAATGATTTCACAGAAAAAAGGTGAACACTGTTTTTTAGCAGATAAACTTAGCACAAAATGTAAGAGCATTTTTTGTAGATTTTTTTCTTTGTTGTAACAATGCTTCTTGGCAATAAATCTTATAGCGGGCACCTGATTGGCAGCTCCTGGGGGTACTAGAAACTTAAAAAAAGTGTCAATACAAGCAGCTAAATAAGCTGTTTAGCAATGGTCAAGAAGATTTGCCGATTTTTTTCCTATGTACACCTCACCAGGGAGGCATCCAGGAGGCATCCTAACCAGATGCCTGAGCCACCTCAACTGGCTCCTCTCGACGTGGAGGAGCAGTGACACCCTGCGGAGGAAACTTATTTTGGCCGCTTGTATCTCTGATCTCATTTTTTCGGTCACTACCTGAAGCTCGTAACCCTAGATGAGGGTAGTAGTGTAGATTGACTGGTGAATTGAGAGCTTCGCTTTTTTGGCTCAGCTCCACAACAGATCGGTACAGCGCCCGCATCACTGCAGACACAGCACAAATCCGCCTGTCGATCTCCCGCTCCATTCTTCCCTCATTTGTGAACAAGACTCTGAGATACCTAAACTCCTCCTTTTGGGGCAGGACCTCTTCCCCGATCAAGAGTAGGCACTCTACCATCAGTGAAAAAAATAAAATAAAATAAAATAAAATAAA